CTCTCTCTCTCTCTCTCTCTCTCTCTCTCTCTCTCTCTCTCTCTCGTTCCTTTCTCCCCTACATCTGTCAAGGTCGTTGGTCTCTTCACGGTTCTTCGGGGCCATCGCAATTCTCACGACACTCTCACCTCTTTCTTAACCTGTCGGTCAAGAAAGCCCCAATCGAATATAAACCATTATAATTTGTCTACAAACCAGGGCAATTTTCAGTCACTCAGGTTCACTCTGTCAACACAATGGGGATTATCCCTAATCCAGGATTTATATCCGATTATTCCAACGCTCCAAGTATCTGTCTTTCAGGCACATGAAACGTTCGCAAACTGCTCTTGTTGCTAATAATGTCAAAAACATGTAATGCGGCGCAAATGAAGCTGCTGATTCAACAATATTTTTCGCACGATAGATAGACTGTCCACTCCATTTCTGCACACCTCCCCCCCAACCACATCCGACCACTCCCTTTTCCCCTCACTCTCGCTCGTCAGCCACATACCTACCACAGGAGCACAATCAGCACAGCAATACATACACCCTAAGGGGCCTACAGAGCGATCATGCCACGGACAGCCGCCACCGCTGCTGCTGCGCTGGTGGTTGCGGGAGGGTTCTTCGCCCAACTGCCTACGGGCGATAGCCACGCATACATGATGATTCCGGTCTCGCGTCAGCTGTGGGGGACCACGGCCTTCCAAGAAGCGTAAGTTGAAAAAAAACATCGCAACGAAATCGTGCGTGTTGTCTACATCTTGTAGATGGAGGATTCTATTTACGTCACCGGTGGCGTTATTTCTTATATACGTCACCGCCCGTATCTCAGTCCACAGAGCTTTAATTGGCACAAAATAAATTGCGTTGTGTAGCTATGACCCACACCAATCATACAAGCCTTTCGACGGTCAAATCCGATAAGTGGTTGCGGATATTTGCTCAAAAGGGGGCTCAGCAGTATGATACTACATCTACCACAAAAAAATCCGAGTGTAACTTCGAGCAGAGAGCTCCGATCGACACCAATAGCTTAATTGATGGCTGTGAATCGTGGAAACACAACGCGAGTTACATAGTTGGTGTCGATGAGAACTCTTTGCGAGGAGGCACGGTCGTTTTATTTACGGCAGATACAGTATATCAAACCGCTAAGCCCCCTTTTGAGCATATCTCCGCAACCACTTATCGGATTGGACCGTCGAAAGGCTTGTACGATTGGTGTGGGTCATAGCTACACAACACAATTTATTTTGTGCCAATTGAAGCTCTGTGGGCTGAGATACGGTCGGTGACGTATATCAGAAATAACCCCACCGGTGACGTAAATAGAATTATTCCTTGTAGATCACATCCCCGAACGGTGCCATGCTTATGGCAGGAGAACCGTCGAATGAAACGGATTTTATGTTCGATACATTTTGTTGTAGCAGCGCCTTTTTTCCATGCTGGGCATATCTGTCCGGGTGTTTCGCATGACATGCAGTAGCGTGCAGTCGCTAGAAGTGCACACCACAGGTTGCTGTTCTGCCGTGTGTCTACCAAAAGAAAAGGCCAATGATGTGATGCCACATCGCCAACGGGAAAAATATACAGCCAAAGGTTGGATCTGCTGCTCAATATTTGCCTGTATTCACCATCCGTAGAACGGCCTCTGAACCCCTGTCGCCCTTCGGATCTTCACGCGCTCCTCTCCCCGCTACACTGCAGCGGATCGCCGAACATAAACTACTGCCCACACTGTTTTCAGAGCCGTGGGGCAGCCGCTGTTCGTGCACGTGGCGGCGACCAGCCGTGGCCTCACTTCAACGGTGATAGAGCGGCAAATGGCAACTACATCGAGAGCGAAGAGGTGGCTCAGAGGCACGGAATCTGCGGCGATCCTGAGCAGGTACCGTTTGTCGCAGAGTCGTTTCGCATGAGGGTGTGGATAGTTGCTATAGGACAGATGCGGGATGGGGTACGTTTCTCCGCATGAACAGAAACCGTGCAGAACACACAAATACTAACAACCGCATGGACTATGCTGAAGTTCGATTCTCCATTGCGAAAACACGAGGGATAGACTACATAAAGTGGACCTGTGCTTTCCCAAGGCCAACCTATTCAAGCTTAGAAAATACCTGCGCGCCACTTCAGTACATGAGCGTGGTCCAGCTTTTTGTTTTCGCTAAGATATAAATGTTCGAGCGTGGATATATATACGCGACTTTCGGGTCCTGACCGAGCATGTACGCGCGCTATTGGCTATGCCACTAAGGAATCATCTGTAGATCGATTGGAAGTACTTTCGTGCTTTGATTGCACGTAGACTTTTAACAACGTGTCACTCATGCAACCGTCATGTTTGTTTCAGACTGCTGCCGAAGGCTCCAACTTATACGGCCTCGAGAACAGCAATTACCCCGTGCTCGAGACGTACGCCGAAGGGGGAATCCTCGAGTTCAAGATGGTCGTGTCGACCTACCACTGGGTGCGCTCACTTTTGGCTGTCCGAAGTGTCTTTCTTGTATCTCGTCGCGTGCCACGCGTCTGACGAAGGAGCTGATTCGCTCCTTGCACGAAAGCTGTCTCGACATGCAGCCTATCTTTCTTCGCACGAAGAAGTATGGTGTAGAACTATCGAGGTCCCACCTACTCCGTCATACTGCCAACTACTGTTGAACCGCTGGCTGGGGGGATGGTACGTCCGATCAGACCTGCTCATACAGAATACCCTGTCGTAGCCCCGGCGAGCACACGGGGATTTTTTGGTGTACCCGATCACCGCGCGGCGTAGAATAAGATGTACCCGCTGTAAGTGTGGGCGCACTTTGAAAAACTGAATAACTACTCCGGCGGTGAACAGTCCTCGTGGTGTTGTTCCGATAACTCCACACCCGAATATTGGGAAAACAACCGAGATGATCTCCGAACCAAGTAGCATCTACGAAACGAATGATTCTCGCACCTTTCGTGTAGATGCGATGACACCCCCTCCGACAACCAGCCGAAGAAGGGCCCGCAGAACGCACGGTATCCGCAACCCCCTTAGTGTGGCCAACCGCCCCGCCGCCTGGTCAGGTCAACGAACCTGTGCTCAAACGAGCTCCGACAAAACATGGTGGTGCTGGACAACAGGCTAGATAAGGGAAGGATGAAAATACTCTGTGTGAACCAGGACAACAACAACTTTCCAATCCTTCAAGTATGTTGACAACAGCGAAACGTTGACAGCTGCCAGGAAAGAGACCGTCGGTTTCCGTGGTTGGACCGTCGGAGGCTGAGGAAGGTTTAACGAACGAGGGATCGCCCCGTAGGGTTGAATGAAAGTAGTGGTTGCGATCTTCAAACAGAAAACAGTTTCACCACGGGGTTTGAACAGGGAGGAGGGTGCGACAAGAGGATGCTACGGCACTGAATACCGGACAGGTGGAGCTGACGCTATCGAACAGGCTCTCCCCCTGTCTCCACATCCAACCTGTCTGTTGCCAATCTTCCAGTGCACCTCTGACATACCTATATTTCCTGACAGGGCCATGTCGAGATGTTCCTCTGCGACGCCAACGACCTCCCCGGCGGTCCCGACAGCACCGTCACGCAGTCCTGCTTCAACGAGCACCCCCTGGATCGCGTAGACGACGATTACTTCAACAGCCCCATCGACCCCAGCAACACCGGGCGCTTCATCCTCGACCCCCCCTGCCGCGCCAGCGAAACCGACCAGGAACTGCTGGACGGCGCCTTCCCCGGCGACGTGGCCACCGCGAGATTCAAGCTACCCGAAGGCGTCAGCTGCGAGCGTTGCGTAGTTCAGATGGTTTACTGTGAGTCACGAGCTTACGTGGGGTTCTCCTTTATTTTTTATTTTTTTTTGCCTTCCGACAAATACAGATGTACCTCAGAAAACTTTCACTTAATGCCTCATACTTTTCATGAATATTAAACCAATACGAAGTACAACAACATATGTAGGAGTTATTTCTACTGTCACTTACATCGTAAAAATATCTCCTCTTCAATTTGAAATAAAACCAATGACAACCCTCATGGTATCCTACATGTGTTCGGGAGCTTGCTAAAATACTACTGCGTTGATGTCCTCTTGTAAAAGCTGAAATCTAACAAATGCTTTGATCCATGCTACATCTCCGTGTTGTAAAAGCCCTTTCTTCTCCGTTGATGATAACATCCTCCTTTTCATCCTTGCGTGCAGGTAGACGCTACCCTGATTATTTTCGAAGTGGTACCCAACGTGCAACTCTGACAGTCATGCAGCGTTGCCTTTCAAGAGCATATTCTCGAGATTCATCCGTATCCCTTCTTTTTCAAGGATAACGAAACGCCCTTCCACTCGTTGCAGCGAGTGTTATCCAAATCCTTATCTTTTTCCTCAATATTCGCCGACGAATATATTGTCACTCACCCCCCTCTCGTCCCCAACCTTCCCTATTATACCGCAGACACCGGCAACTCGTGCAAGCATCAAGGATACGCAGAATTCAACCCCGATTCGTGGCCCAGCTCATGCGCACCTACCAAGGCCGACTGGATCAACGAGCTCGTCGGGTTTTGCGGCGACGGAGACGCCTACCCAGAGGAGTTCTGGAACTGCGCTGATATCTCGATCACGTCCGGTGAGTTTTTCCACGTCAGACATATAGCACTCTTTCCACAGTGCAGTCCACGTGTCTACAACAAAAAAGACTGTAGACAGGCTTGTAGATATTGCCTTTGGTTCCAAGAAGTTCGTTTGGCTCTTCGAGTCAAAACATGTCAGCTTTTGTGAGCTGTTGAGCTTGAACAACGTTGCAGTCAACTGACTGCTGGCTGACAACTGTGGGCTGGCTCTGCCGCCTTCTATTGGTACGTCGAAGATCACCCCTTGATGATGCTGGGCTATGCTCTCAAGAGCTCTCGCTGAAGGGATAACTTGTAAGCCCTGTGTTCTAGTACAAAGGAAGCTTTGGAACAATGAAATCACGGCATGTTCCCTCCTGCACACTAGCCTCTCATATGTCCGGCACTCTACCCCCTTCGCCCGCTCCCCCCTCCTCGCCTTCCATGCTTTTCGGCAACCGTCAGATGGAGACCCGGGTCCTAGTCCGACAACTGCCCCCACCCCCACCCCGACGGCCTCCGAAGAGACCGAACCGCCTGCGACCGACATACCCACAGCAACGCCCTCATACGCCCCGACTTCCGAGGGCGAAGAAGAGGAGGAGGGCACGGACGAGCCTACACCGACGCCCACTATCGCAGAGGGAGAGGAGACCAATGAACCTACCTCGGCTCCAACAACCGCCCAGGGAGAGGAAACCGAGGAGCCCACGTATGCGCCCATTTCCGGGGGGAACGGGGAGGAGGAGGACACGGACGAGCCTACACCGGCGCCCACCATCGCCGAGGGAGAGGAGATCAATGAACCTACCTCGGCTCCAACAAACGCCCAGGGAGAGGAAACCGAGGAGCCCACTTATGCGCCCATTTCCGGGGGGAACGGGGAGGAGGAGGACACGGACGGGCCTACACCGGCGCCCACCATCGCCGAGGGAGAGGAGACTAATGAACCTACCTCAGTTCCAACAACCGCCCAGGGAGAGGAAACCGAGGAGCCCACGTATTCGCCCACTTCCGAGGGCGAAGAAGAGGAGGACACGGACGGGCCTACGCCGGCGCCCACCATCGCCGAAGGAGAGGAGACCAATGAACCTACCTCGACTCCAACAGCCGCCCAGGGAGAGGAAACCGAGGGGCCCACGTATGCGCCCACTTCCGAGGGAGAGGGTGAGGCGGAGGACACGCCGGCACCCACCACGGTTGAGGGAGAGCAGGAGGAGGAGGAGGGGGAGGAGCCCAACGGCGCCACACCGGCGCCCACCACCACAGAGGGAGAGGAGACTGGCCAGCTTACCTCGACTCCAACAACCGTCCAGGGAGAGGAAACCGACGCGCCCACGTATGCTCCCACTTCCGAGGGAGACTGGGAGGAGGAGGGCACGTACGAGCCTACGCCGGCTCCCACCATCGACGAGGGAGAGGAGGAGGAGGAGACTGACGAGCATACACCGGCGCCCACTACCGTCGAGGGAGAGGAGACTCACCAGGTTGCGCCGGCTCCAACAACCGTTCAGGGAGAGGAAACCGACGCCCCCACGTATGCGCCCACTTCAGAGGGGACGGGGCAGGAAGAGGAGGAGGACACGCACGAGCCTACGCCGGTGCCCACCATCGTCGAGGGAGAGGAGACTCACCAGGTTGCGCCGGCTCCAACAACCGTTCAGGGAGAGGAAACCGACGCCCCCACGTATGCGCCCACTTCAGAGGGGACCGGGCAGGAAGAGGAGGAGGACACGCACGAGCCTACGCCGGTGCCCACCATCGTCGAGGGAGAGGAGGAGGAAGAGACTGGCGAGCCTACACCGGCACCCAGCACCGTCGAGGGAGAGGAGACTGACCAGCCTACGCCGGCTCCGACAATAGTCCAGGGAGAGGAAACCAATGAGCGGACGTATTCTCCCACTTCCCAGGGGGAAGAGGAGGACACGGACGAGCCTACGCCGGCGCCCACGACGGTCGATGGAGAGCAGGAGGAGGAAGAGGAGGAGGAGACCGATGAGCCTACACCAGCGCCTACCACCGAGCTCGAGCCGGCCACAATCATGAACTCTCCCACCGAGCCGATTGTGGCGACCTTCGCACCGTCGGTGCCCCCCCCTGTCTCGACCGACCCCGACTGCGAGGACCCTGTCGCGGGGTTCAACCAGTGCGGGGGACCGGGTTACGAGGGCTCTACCTGCTGCAGGACTGGCTACGACTGCGAGGAGATGGCGGACTGCTACTTCGAGGTAAATAAAACTCACGACGGCGTTGTACTTGTAGCGTGTTGGCGATGTACTCCGTGGTGATGATTGAGAGTCGCTCGCAGGTTTTTTCGCCAACTGTAAGGATTGTTCGTGAGTGCGACCGTGTCCGTTGCTGCTTCCTCCCCCTTGCCATCCTCAAAAAAATCGGCCGACAACACTACCCCGCCCTCTCTTTCTTGGCGTGTTGTCCTTCGCTACGTTGATCCCAGTGCCGCCCGCGTGGCGACCGCTGCTCCGAAAGCTGGGGGCAGTGCGGAGGATTGGACTGGGAAGGCCCCGAGTGCTGCTGGCCCGGCGCTAGGTGCGCCGAGCGCAACGAGTGGTACCACCAGTGCATTCCCGAGGATGCCATCTATTGATAAAGAGGTCTTCCTCCATTCACCCAAGCACGTTTGGACGGCGGCTCGGTCGTGGGATTCGCCATCAAGACTACGAGGCTTGGTTGTTGTTAGTTTAGGTTGCTCTCAGCCATACATGTGCACGCGGTTTGGATGGCAATCGTTCGTCGTTTCTGGCAGACGCTACTCTTTCGTACATGTCGCACCATGTTGCTCATCAAGGTGGCCGCGGTCTTTGGTGTTCGATCGCTTTTTCCTCGGGAGACTTTCGCAGCTTCCCGGAGTTTCGTAGAGCGAAACGAGTACACTCCTCCTGTTGTCTACTTATCGAGCTGTTGCAGTTGTTTTCTCGTGTAGGGGTAGGCTGCTGGCAAATGTCTTCGATTCGCTTTGCACCGTTGAGATCGTCGGTGCTCGGGTACCATCATCTTCAGCATTTCCTTCGTTTTTTTCTCCGATTACGTCCGGCAACACCACATCATAACAGCTTTTTGACTTACTTCCGCAGCCTGAGTGGCGTCGCGAGGCAAACAACGATACACCACCCCCCATGATCGTTTGTGCTTTTAGCTGTACTACACACTCCTCTCACGCAAGTTGAGCACACTGTCGTCTCGTCGGCGTAGATGGTCGATACCTGGCGGCGGTAGCTGTGCTTCCATGTTTTGGGCTTGGAATAAGGTGTTTCGTCGACGATTTCATGAGTGAGGGTGTTTTCTGCTTTTCAATGCTTGGTGGTCTCGTGAGGCTGGGTCGTGAAGGATGGCATGGTGGTTCGTGCGTCATGGCAGACTCGCACCTCTGAGCGCTTAGTGTTCGTTACTGTTGTGGGTATTGGGTCCCAGGCACCGTATAGCTGCTTGTCCAGGTTTGATATATTTAGTGGGTGGACGCTATCATTGGCCTTGTCCAGAGTTTCTCGTCTTTGGGATATATGAGTGGAGAAAACACACGTTCGTGATCCCCGTTGGGCGTTCGAAATTATTTTGCCCAGATCCGTTCAAGGTTGGTGGTGGAAAATGACAGTGAATGTACGTCGTCGCAAACCCGTTGGAAGAAAGCTAGCTTCACATTTGTACTGCACGGACCGACGTATAGCAAGGGTGTACTCGGTAACTCTTTTCTTTGGCGGACGCATTTTCTGCGGAAAAGCCATTTGGTGGCAAGCACTTTGGCGGTAGGCGGTGATGGGTTTATTGGTGGTCAAGACTTTGCCGGAGGCGATAAAATAAATTGACGGCTGTAAATGTTTGGGCGGAAACGCCACACCGTGGTAATATTTTCGCGGTACAGTTGGCGGCGTTTGCGTTTTTCGGCGGTGACGACTTTGGCGAAGGTCGTAAAACATAAATTCGGCGGTAAAACCGCGGTAAACCGTTGCCGCCCACCACGGCGGTATTAATGCCGAGGAGACGCTTGATATATATATAGCCTAAGCCAGGTGCTTCTGCTGGAGAATGCCCTCACGGGTTGTCGTGCGATTCGTCGTCGATTCACCCCTCCCTTGGGTGGACCCGCCAAATTGGTTCTGCGGTTGTTTCCAATTTCGTTCTGCTGGGACGTAAGAATGGTCGTTAGTTGCTTTTTCCCCCGTCGGAGGACGGACGGGGTGGGGGTCCCTTTGCGCGTGCTTTCCAGCATTCTCAAATGTCATGCGCAGGTGGTTCGGGTGTCTCGTTGAGCGTTCCTGGCAAGCACAAGGTAGGTTTTGCATCCATAACTGCATTGTTTCACGTTGTTCCTGTCGACCAATGTTTCATGGTCCACAGAAGGTGAGAGCATGTAGGAGGAGGGATTGCCCCTCCCCGCCCCTAGTTGGGGTGGGTGCCCAGAATGTGACAGATGCATGCGGGGACGAAAAATTCGCGGTGAACATGTGACGGGGTGCTTCTAGACTCACGTACGAAAATACCATATGCATGGTCTATTCGATGCGAAGAAGTGTGTGTTTCCATGAAAAACTATTTTTGGAACGTTTTTTTTTCTCGAACATGGATGGAAGAGAAAACTGTCAATGTTTTTGTTTGTGATACTCGGATATGCAGTGTCGTCATGCCGGGATTTTTTTTATATCATTTGTCGACGTTTTCCGGCACCGCCACCACTACAGCCCACCACCGTCAACTATGAAGGCACCTCCGCGCAGCTACAGTCCTGGTACGTCCTCCCCGCTGAAGAGACGAAGGGAAAAGAGCGTGTGTGGCGTCCTGGGTCGGAAAAACAGCGTTGGAAAAGTACTGTCTCAAACAACATATTCGCCTGATTGAGAGCGTAGCATCTGATTGAGAGCGAGATTGCGCGATACGCTGTAGCCGGACTACCACTGAGAGGTGGAGCTTGCTGTGTAGCTTGAATTGAAGGGCTAGCCCGTAGCTTCAAGCCGCTACCCTGGTCATCCTGTGGGAGTCTCTCGTTGTGGAGCTACAGCGGGGAGCAGAAGCTACAGCAGAGCCCACCGCCCGACGCGATACCGCCCTGAAACAGTTTGAGCAGAAATAGCCAATCTGGGCAAATCTAGCAACTTGTCTAGCTCCTCGCTGCAGCATCCGATGACGATGACACGCATATGCTCGCGAAGCTGCTGATGAGACCTTCAATTTGCACCGCTTCTTGGAATAGCCCGTCCCCTACTTGCCAAGAAATGGCAAGAGGCGTCTGGACCCGAAATTTCAATTTTTTTGGCTCTCGCTCTCAATCAGATACTTCGCTCTCAATCAGGCGAATATGTTGTTCTCAGTAATCAGGCTTTTTTCCGATGTGGGACTTTTTCCATATCGTCCCCGGACAAGCGGTTTGGCGCACTTACACCCACCTGACGCCACACTGGGTCTGTGTAGGCTGCTGGAACAAGACCACACAGTACTTACACATCATACTAGACGCTGTATAGCAGTTTTCCGCCAATGTTTCGCAGGTCGGTGCTTGTTACGAGGGTCACACACACGCTGAGACTTGGAGCAGATCTGGTTGAACAGACGGATTTGGAGGGTGCATACCAAATTGACGCCGACCCGTCCGTGCGAACTGAACCAAACGGTGGACACACAAGCTGGTTTTGTTGGCTTTCTGTAGCACCCATGATATTAGGGGCTCTTTCCTCCTGGATGCAGATATCGGCAAACATGAAAGGTGGATCTGGGTCCTCCTCCTATTCTATTACCAAGCAAGAGGATCTTCTCCAGGGGCTCCGCGATCCAGAGACATTGAAAGGGGTGTGGCAGCCCCAGGGGGGAAGGAAAAAAAAGAGACAACGATAGCAAGACAGAGTAGAGAGATGTTTGGCGCCTGACATCAATTGACGGCAGCGGTTCGGCCACTGTAACAATGAACAATCCTTGTGTCTCGCACCTACAGCTAGCACCACCCTCGAAGTGGCACCTGGGGTTCAAGCTCTATGCGTTGAGATATCTACCAACAACAAAGTGCCATATCGAGGCGTGTAGTGTGGCCCTATTGATTGGTGATGGTTCGCAAGGCGTTCTGATTTTTGGCAAAACGTGTCCCCGAGCAGCAATAAAAAAAAAAACCGGCATATCGACACTGGATGAGTCCAATCTGTGCATCCTCTGTGGGGGATACGCGTATGGTAGCTATGGGTGTGATGGGTATGTATGCGGTTGAGGTCCAAGTGCGGGGCCTCCGGGTGAGCACACGGCGATGTGCTCCCGGCACTTGCCTGGGGGGGTTACGTGACCGAAAGGGGTATATACGCCAGCGCTGGCGAGATTCTTGCACTCGCCAGTTCANATTGGTGATGGTTCGCAAGGCGTTCTGATTTTTGGCAAAACGTGTCCCCGAGCAGCAATAAAAAAAAAAACCGGCATATCGACACTGGATGAGTCCAATCTGTGCATCCTCTGTGGGGGATACGCGTATGGTAGCTATGGGTGTGATGGGTATGTATGCGGTTGAGGTCCAAGTGCGGGGCCTCCGGGTGAGCACACGGCGATGTGCTCCCGGCACTTGCCTGGGGGGGTTACGTGACCGAAAGGGGTATATACGCCAGCGCTGGCGAGATTCTTGCACTCGCCAGTTCAACGATTTTTGGGTTGTGGTTGGAGGTAGACCAAAGCCACAGCGGGTTTCCAGCCCTCAGGCAGCACCAAGGCGCTAGGCCTCACTAGGCCCACCCCTACCCCTACCCCTAACCCTACCCCTAACCCTACCCCTAACCCAACACCCCAAAGTAGGTTGTTGTGCAGTGGGTAGGCCTAGGTCGCTTTACCGAGCTACATACTGGAGCGTGCAAGAATCGCGCCAGTACTGGCAAATTTTCGCCGCGGAGTTACGTGACGGATATGTATGATACATGGTCCTTTTTCATATATCTGCTGTTCCTGGGATAGCATTGCACCCAGTCTCAACACCACAGACCGCTGAGGGCGGCAGTGCCCAACACCCCAAAGTAGGTTGTTGTGCAGTGGGTAGGCCTATAGGTCGCTTTACCGAGCTACTGGAGCGTGCAAGAATCTCGTCAGACTGGCAGATTTTCGCCGCGGAGTTACGTGACGGATATGTATTATATATGGTTCTTTTTCATCTGTCTGCTGTTCTTGGGATAGCATTGCACCCAGTCTCAACACCACAGACCGCTGAGGGCGGCAGTGCACACTAACACAGTTTTTGTGATGAAACATCGAAAATAAATATCACGGATCAATCACAGCCTTGTCGCCGAAAGATCCCGCCAAAGGCAGGTGAAGAGTATTCGAAGCCCGCTCGTGGATGCGTCCAAGCTCCAACGGAGCAATATGGCATGGCGCGGAATACTGTTGTGGGAAACCTCTGGGTGGGGAAAGTCTTGAATTACAAACAGCCGCAACATCATCAGACTGTACATACATACATGTGAAACCATATCTGCATGCATGCGCCGTTGGTGCGAAGGGTCTCAAGATACACTTGGAAAAGAAACCAACGAATGATATGATCTAATGACTATGTCCCAAGAAGGGGAGGGGAATTAACCGGTGGACACCGTAGACAACGATTCTAAGTTCTCTTTCGCCAGGGGGCAAAGCTTTCGCCGTACTCAGTACCGATGTGAATTAGACGTTAAGTAATAGTACCATGAGTCCTAACATCCTACACGAAGCACAACCAACATCACTCTATCTTTAACATCAATGAGGTGAGGAAAAACTCGTTCACCTATCTTTACCTCAGAAACGTACATTATTTGAGAAGCAAACCTGTGTATCTTCCATCGAAGCTCGCGAAGCGACTTCCATCGAAGTTCAGGGTATTCCCGTGGAAGTCCAGGTAGGGGGAAGTTCACGAACGAATTCTATGGGAGCATGAACTTCCATGGAAGCTTGTGGACGTCGACCAGCTTCCATGGGAGTCGCTTGGTAAACTTCCATGAAGTCAAATTCATTTGCTTCCACGGAAGTCGCCCACCTTCTTGCAGGTTCCAGGGAGCTTTGTGCGCCACGAAAGTGTACCGCCCGAATCCAGATTCCATGGAAGTCAGGATGAGTGACAACCATGAAAGCTTTCAAATGCAGCTCCCATGGAAGTCGCTTGGTAAACTTCCATGGAAGTCAAATTCACTTACTTCCACGGAAGTCGCCCACCTTCTTGCAGGTTCCAGGAAGCTTTGTGGCACAATTCCCACAAAATTGTACCATCCAGATTCCATGGAAGTCAGGATGAGTGACATCCATGAAAGCTTTCAAATGCAGCTGCCATGGAAATTGGCGTTTCTCAACGTCCATGGAAGTCATCGTCAGGGGCTTGCATAGGAGTTGTCTCCCACTAGCTTCCACGGAAGTAATCACCCGAGTCCAGCTCCCATGAAAGTAGTCGTGCAGGGCTGGCATGGAAGCTTGCACGGGGAGCTCCCATGACAATCCTTCTCTAGGATGTCCGCTTCCATGCAAGACATCGTGAAGGACTTAAAGGACGTGGCACCTAATCTACTCAGCGGCAGTGGGTTGCCAATGCGTTCGGCCACGCATCCGTTGCCGACATATACCTTGGGCCTGGTCGGTAGCCGTGGCCGATGCCGCTGTCACCGGAGGACCCGATCACAGTGACTTCCGCTCGCCACTCGAATGCGATGCCACCTCTTACCGCTGCACCGCCGAAAAAGGGAGCGTCGATATCCGACCATGCCGATCCCGAGGTAGAAAGTCCACGCCAGAACTTGAAATGTAGTCCCTCTCGAGCTCTTCGCGGCAGCAGGACCCACCGGCGAAGCCATCGCCGCCGCAGCCGCAGCCGGTGCCGGGGGCAAAGAGGGAACCGCAATCAACGGTTGCTGTGAAAAAGGAGGCACCACCCGCCTCCGTAACAAATCGAGGCACCGCCTCCCACCCCTGTTGTTAAAACGGAGCCGGCCCGGGGCGGTACCGACGCCCCCACAACGAATTTTCCTCTGAGTCACCGTGTTTGGCTGTTGTTGCAGTTTCGGTAGCGCGGCCACCGCTGCCGGCAATACAGATCGTGGACCCTCCTGCTGATGACCGGGGTGTGCCCCTGTTGTCTGCCGGTGCACGCACAGACCGGGCCCAATTGGATGCCATCGGTGCTGCCGCACCGTGCGCTCTTAGCGTGCGCATTGGGTATAGTCTGCTTACGTTAACTCGGCCGAAGTGTGCAGGCTGAATCATTTCGACCACTGACTCCTCTGCCGATTGAGCTGAAGTCGACCACACGGGTGGCTGGATGGCTTGCCCCGCTTCACAAACGTTTCCTCATGGCCATTTCGGATCCTCACGGCACCAATGTGACAACTTGCCGCGTGGTAGATTCCTCGTTCCTCACCTACACCGTTTTCAGGTGACAGCTGGACGCGTTTTCTCTGTCGTTTGTCCACAACGCTGCCCAGGCGGTCTGCGAGTGGATGCATTTCGATGCGTTGCCACGCGCGCCTTCGACGGATGTCGACGTTGAGGTGTTTCGCCGTTTTGGGCCGCACATGGTAATGCTGATCATTTCGGCCCGGAAAGTGTTCGCGGTCGCCGGCATTGCACCCTGCGTGGGTTCTGTGCCCGAAGGACCTCCTCCGGCTTCCGTTTTTGTTGAGCCGGACGTCGCTCTCTAGTCCACCATCGGAACGTCCGCCGCTGCCCGTTCGCTTTTTCGAGATACTCTGGTTTCTTCTCGAACTCGGGCGAGGATACACTCAACTTCGGGGAATGGCCCAAAGCCGTCCTATCTATTTTCCGGAACAACCGCTGGCGCTTGTTATACCCAGAACCCCGCGGTCTCCTCGGACGCCTCCTCGCGATCGCGGTGACAAGTTGTCGGCGGGTACTGCTGGCCGCATTGTCAAGCTCGCCCCCCCCTGAGGCGCCTGCCGAGCCGCCGCCCCCATCACCGGCCAGCCCATGACCAACTCCTGCACCCGCCGTCCGCGGAGCACACGTTATCGTTGCTACCACCCGCTGCTGCTAGCCCCGGGCCTTCGGTGGTCCTGCCCACAGTCGCCGAGAAAGTCCGTCTCCCCGACTGTGTGCATTCGTTCTCGCAGGTTGATTGGACTAGGGAACAGCTGTCAGAAAGTGAGTGCGTGATGGCCATACGTATTCTATCTTTTTGGGACCCCCAACGGTCTTGCCAGATAGACTCTGGGATTCTTCGGCTCTTAAGCGGGCGGCCAGCGCTGTCCGATGTGGTCGGCCTTGCATCTAGTAGGAGGCTCCAAGTGTTGCGCCGTGACCCGCGCTTGTAGAAAAATACCGCCCGTCGTCGAAGTAAGTTTGTTTTTTATTTTGGCGCTGCATCCCCTACCCCGCTCACGTCCGCCGTCTTGTGTAGGCAGGTTGGAGGGTGGTTTGAAATGAGCAGGTTCATCGGCAGACACTGCAGATGGCTATACAGTCGGTCTGATCGTCATCTGTTCAGCGCGACGCCAATTTGCGCCCGCCCACATCTACTGTACATTTCACCCTCTTGGCGGATGTCTCTCATGTGCAGCGGGAGTGGAGTTGGACGGGCGTCATGTTGGAGCGGAGATGTTCCGTGGCGCGAACGACCATATCGTATCTGCGTATGTAGCCTCAATATTGTGCGGTACAGTGCATATGATCGCCGGTGCTTATTTGGCTGGAGAGCCCCTGGTTTCTTTTGCTGAGCAACCAGTCCGTTGGGCGCCGAGTTTCTAAGCAATCGAAGAGTTCTGGGTGCTCCACGCCGACGGTTCATGCATACAGTTATTTTTGAAGCATCATAGCGAGCTTAAGGGACTGATGATGTGATTGGATCTAGGATTTTCGTGTGCAAATTCCTTCGAAAAGGAAGGGGGTTTACCAAACACACGCTCGTCCCCGTTCATTGCACGACAAATGATGTGTAACATCTGGAATGCCTTGTTTGATTACCTTGATCCGCCGATGGCGCGCCTGGCAACGCATCGAAGTGCGTCTACTCGCACGGTATATATGTTGCACAGCAGTCGGGCATCATGAATGCCAAGACTTCTATGCCCTGTGCTACAGTACATCGGCGGGATAGGTGCTAGCGGCTGGAACGTTTAGAATTCAACGTGCCCAAAGGTGTCACCAAAGTCATCATCATCACCCACACGGAACGTTTCGGCAGCCGGTCGCTCCAACCCAGGGTGTGTATCTACACCAACTCTCTCGATTTGCTCTGGACATTGTGTGAAGATCTGGAAATAGCCTGAATGGTCGGTGGGACCGACCTCGTACCTTCTTCGTGTCTAGTCTAGTCTTCATGTATGTGGTCTTTGGTTGAATCGAGCTTCGACGTGATTGCTCGAAGAAAAACTGTCCGCGTTTGTGTTGGAGAGAACAACAAGCAGCGCCGTGTAGACGGCGAGATCATTTGCGGGAAGGAAGCAAATTGTTTTTTCTCGCCATGGCGAAACGACGGAGGAGATGGCCAGAAACAGGATCGATAGACGGAGGTTTGCGACGACCAGCGTTCTCGCCGGCGTAGTAAGCGAATGGCGCGGTAATTGCTTGTGCCGCATCGTCCCTCTGTTGGCCTGTGGTGTACTGTCCAACCGGACACCACTACAGAAACCTTTCAATTCTCAGAGCACACAAGGGTCTTTGTCAGGGAGTAGATGACGATTATCTCCATACGGCACTATCATTGCCGAGCTGAAGCGCAGTTTTTTTGTTATTCCTACATTACACAGTTTCGGACTGGGGCTCCAAATTTTCCGGTTTAAGGAAGCAGATTTTGAGATAAGAAAGTTTGCTGAAAACTTCGGATAGGTGAAAATTTCACCTTTAAGCGGCTTCATGTGATTGGCTGTGGGTTAACAGTACCTCCCACGAACTCCCCCTGTCCGCAGGTGCTGTTGTTTTTTCGTGGTGCGCGACGTGACAGCTAGCTGTGCACCTTGCTTGATGGCAAGGGGCTCTAACTGCTGCTGCTGTTGAGTGTGCATGCGTGCGTGCGCGTGTCCGTGTCTGCGTCGCTCCCTCAACCCCAGCACACGAAATCACACCACACCAGTATGGAGACAGGAAGCGATTACCGTACGCTGGCCGACGACAGCCTCTGAACGAAGTGCTATGTCGCGTTTCAAGCGTTCGGGAGAGAGACGGGGGGGGTGGGACCGGGAGGCACATCCAAGTCAAACGCTCTTCTTTCTGGTAGACACCAGAGGAAGTACTCTTGCGCGCGGAAGGACGCGCCCGCCTTCACCAGGAGGCCACTACGTGCCCTTCCTACTATCTGCTCTTCTGTGCTGGCGGCGTTGCCACCACCTCTTAGATCTAGGTTCGTGCGTTCTTCCTCCCCCATGCCTCAATCTGACGGGCGTGTTGCTGACCTCAAGCCAGCCGGAAACAAACCCAACTTTCTGACCGTGCAGCCTCCCTGTTTATGTGTTGGCGGCGCGCCAACTCCAAGGCCTTTCGCTGGGCGCTGGCCTTCTCTTTGGCCGCGCTGACATGTTCTCAGCAGACTGCTGTGTGTGCGTGCGGTGGTGCGTGTGATGTGCTACTTCGAATAAAGTTGCTACATCGAAAATCGTGACATTTTTCCCACAAACCAAGTCTCCCTCGGCTCTTAAATCTGTAAATGTTTTCCTTGTTGTGGGTTCTGGCGAGACTGTCAGGAGCGATCCTCAGAACGACGGCTATATCGGAAACATTTTGAGTCCGAAACTGTCAGTGTATCTTTTTTCTGTCTCTCGTGTACTCATGAGTCTACCCCGGTCCTCGTTCTCCAAATCGTTGACATGCACTGAACACACTGCCAATCTTGGGTTTTGCTTGCAGGTGCGGCGCACACACAGATCACCTGCGAAGGTAGGTCAACTCTGTTCTCTCAACCATTAGTCACACACAGAGTGTATTCTACCAACCCCCTATACGTTCATGGATGGCATACTTTTCTCTCTGCCTCTAAGACACTTTGTGCAAGCTGCTGTTTGCCGCCAACGGCAGAAACATGTTAGGGAAGAAAGCTGTTGATTCAACAGTAGTTTATTTTTGTTCACAACATTTCCAGAATATTTCCACACACCTCCCACCCACCCACCCNCTTCATCTCGCTTGTCAGCCACACACCTGCCTTAGGAACACCATCAACAGTAGCAATACATCGAATAAGGGACCTACACAGCGATCATGCCACGGACAGCCGTAGCCACCGCCACTGCTGCGCTTGCGAGCGTTTCAGGGTTCTTTGCCCAAGTGCCCACGGGCGAAAGCCAAGTCCACATGATGGGGCCCACATGATGACCCCGGTCTCGCGTCAGTTGTGGGGGACCTCGACCTTCCAAGACGCGTGAGTTGATCAGTTTCGTCGCGCAAGGCAACCGTGTGTGTTGTATTCTGCTGAATAATAGATCGCGTCCCTGAGCAGCGACATGTGTGTGGCGGGAGAACCTTGGAATGAAACCAGTATGATGTAAGTGACAGTAGAAATAAGTCCTACATATGTTGTTGTACTTCGTATTGGTTTAATATTCATGTAGAGTATGAGACTTGGGTGAAAGTTTTCTGAGGTACATATGCAATTGTCGGAAGGCAAAAAAAAAATATATATATATAGTCTAGTCTATATGATGTTGGATTTAGACCACACACGCGGTACGGTTGCATTGTAGCAGCGCCGGCTGGGCGTACTACACTCTTCTTGTAGTCGATCGGGGGTGTTGCGCGCATCGTAAGCTGTGGCTTGCGGACGCTTTCAATCCGCCGTGTGCCATGTGGATATGCCTGGGCAGAGAGTATTCTCTCTACGTGCAGTAGTCAGAGCTCAGGGTGTTGTCCTCTGATGTGTCCGAGCGACGACGAGAAAAATAGCCTGAAAAAAGGTCCGTGATGTGATGCCACATCGAGCGGGAAAACTGAAACGGGAAACCAGACACGGGAAAGCCACGATTTTTTGCCGTTTTTACTGTACAACTCCAGTAGATTGTGTGAAAGTTTGACTCTTCCGGGGCGAAAACACGAAGGATTTACTGCGTACATGGTGCGTTGTCCAACAAATGTTTGCGCTTTGATACGTAGACCAGTCTACGGGGTCTACTATACACTATCGTTGTTCGACCGTGAAGTCATACTCATAAACTTGGTCATCGCACTTGACCATAAGTGCACGCGCGCTATACATACTACACCGTGAACATCTTTGATCAATCGCAGAATCTTGTCAGGTCTTGCCGTACCATGGACTGTACCGTGCTTTGATTTCACAGCTGTTCGCCACCTGTCACTCATGCAACCATCATTCTCCCTTCAGACTGCGGCTGAAGGCTCGAACAAGTACGGGCAGGAGGACAGCAACTACCCCGTGCTCGAGACGTTCGCCGAAAGGGGAATCCTCGAGGTCAAGATCATCGTGTCGACCTACCACTGGGTGCGTTCACTTTTGCCTGTCCGACGAGTCGTTTTTGTGTCTCGTCTCGTCGCATGCCACGCTGTTGGTATGTCCGTACTTGGGAGGAGAAGACACGCTTTAACTCTCTCTGATTAGGCACCCGCGGGAGCGAGGAAAGGAAGGGAAGAAGTGGCCCTCCCGAATTCGGGGAAGGGGGCCCACACATAGTAGCCTTTTT